ATGACCTCCTCTTTAGCACACTCCACACTTGCATTTATCAATGTTTCCGGCTAGTTCTAACATGACCATTCTTCTACCTAGTTTTACGAGGAATCACAGAATCAAAACAGCTACTTAAGCTAATTTAGGAGGTTTTGTTTCTCTCTCCAGTTTACTTAACTGGGTCTAATCTAACAGAATTCGTTAAATACTTCATGTACATATTCTAAAAGGAACAGAAATATCGTAAGTAATTTAGATCTCGTAACTACCAAACATGCAGTGACAACGATCAATATAAAATCCACACTTCACAAATGTAACAACCGTTTTGTTACAAGTATAAGATTTTTAAGCAGAAATAACTGAAAATACCCGATGCCCGATATTTCGCAATTGTAACAATCAGTAAAAAATAAATTGTCATACCCTGCGTCCTGTGACAGTGACCATTTTACTACTAGAATAAGACGACCCTGACAAAGCGAATATAGGATTAATCAGGATATTTGTAACTCCGTGAATATTATAGATTCTATAGCATTCCCAAATTATAGAAAAAACCATAAATCTGAGTAAATCCATTATCTTAAAGTTTGAAAACAAAATATTATACCTAGGATGATATTCAAGAAATTAAAGAATGAGCAATTAGAAAATTTATATGGACAAAGGATAGATAATATGCTACAAATATAGATAAGTCGCGAAGATGAAGAGAATGTATATCTACCAATCAAGTTTTATATATTTGCACAAGCCTACTGAATATACAATTCATGGCTTTCATGCAACTTTTCAAGATAAAATATAGACAAGTTATGGAGCCCTAGTCAGGTACTTCCAAGACTTATATACGCGCATTAATTTGTACTTATAGCCGACGAAGTATAGAATCTACAAAAAGAATTGGACAAATGGAAAAAAATTTTAAATTATTAAAATTATTAAACTTTATAATGATGAATTCAAATTTATAGATTAAGCTGAATATATGGAAGAAGTAGAAAACTTGCTTTTATTTTTTGGCTGCCAATAAATAGAATAACTTAGTCTGTTCAATAACCTGTGTACTTTATGAAAACTATATATTATATGCAGTAATAAATATCACAAAATTCATATGAATATTATATTGAAATTATTTACACATACTAGTAACTATACATACTAGTAAGTATATAATACAACATAATAACTTCTATTTAGAACATTGCTTTTGTCAAAGTAAACCAAAATGAGTCTTTAGAATATAATTATTCCTTTATTATATTTATTCTTAATAAAATTAACTTTGTTTTGAATAACTGACTAATTTATGTTAGTTTTGACCTATTGTATTACTGTATAAAACACGGATTGTTTTAAGTCTTTAATTCTCTTTCAAGGAATATTCGGAAACTCATAAAAATTGTATAGTTTGCAAGTTTTCAAAATGTTTATTTAACCCTTGACTATGACAAGACAGATTCGATAGAGTACTTCCATCTTCAAAAGTCATCAAAGGCAATAATCGTATTCTTAGCATGACTTTTTATCCACCTATTATCTGTTAGCAAGATTATATATAACAAATCTGTTCACTGAATATATTTTTATATGCTTGACTGTACGCTGAGTGTCTTTAAAAAAAAATTTGAAACACCACATAAAGTGCTTTGTATTAAATCTTTTATAGAAAATGTTCCACTCAAATAGCTAAACCATAACAATTTACAGTAAACTGTACTTTGAGTAACTATACTTTAACTTAAACCTTAATTTAATCATTAATTAAGTAAATTTATCCAATATATATGGTGCTTATTTCAATTTTGTCTTAATTAACATCTAGATGTAAATGCCAGTTTAATTATGTTCGATTATAACTTATTTAAGAGTATAACATTTACGTATAATCTTAATTATTTTAACTAATACAATGCAAAGCATTGCAATTTAGCAGTTAATTGATACAATGCAATGAAATTTAATTTAATAGTTAATGAAACGCTTAATTAACCTATGTTTGAATGGGAGAACAGATTAATTCTTATATGAGTACGAAAAGTCCAACAACTAATTGTGTAATTAGTGTTGTTTCATGTTAGTTAGAGTTAAACATCATTGACTAAGCAGAATTAAACGAAACAAATGACTGTCAAGAAAGTGTCAATATTTCAAATAGTTAAATAAACTATCAAATAAACTATTTGTAAATATAAGTATATTGAATATATTTGAGGTAGAAACCCAATAATATGTCTTTATTGAGTCAAACATAAAGAATTATACAGATAAATTAACATAACAGTTTCCACAATCTGCTATATTGACCCGATCAGATTACTAATATCAGTAATTAGTATACAGTGGAATCATTGTATATTCCAACAAAATAAATTTTTATATAGATCTCAATAATTATATTTATATATTTTGATTATGTATAAATAATAACTATATCGAAAGGATTTTGAATATCCTAAAAACAATTTTTGAAATAACTTTTTCAATAACAAAAAATTTAAAATTAGGGACTTACAGTAATAATATTAAGAACTCGGACTTCAACTTGGAATACTTGAGAAGTCATAAGTTGAAATAGATGAGGCTGCCATATTGTGTAATTGCTCCCATTATTTGAGTTGCTATATTCAGTTCTTATACTATTTTAAAATAACTGATTTTGGAGGAGTTGGTAAAAATGTCTCCTTTTTCTATCGAAATAATACCAAATAAATTATGTCATCTAAACGATACCATTCAATGATAGCATCTCAATGATATCATCTCAATGATACGGTCTTAATGATAGCATCTCAATGATACCATCTCCATGATAACATCTCAATGATAGCATCTCAATGATACCATCTCAGTGTTACTATCTCAATAATACCACATCAATGATACTATCTAAATGATACCATTTCGGTGATACCATATCAATGATACTATCTTAATGATGCTGATATTGTGTCGCCTTTTTTTTATGACTTACTTAAGATCTATTTATATAACATGAAAAATCTAAAATGTCTTTTAATGAGATAAAAAGACTGTTAGACTCGATAGTTGTTGTTACCATCTAAAACAAGGATTCAAGGAATGCTACGTTTTTTTCATAACTTTATGGTCTATGGCCGTAGACACTATCAGTCACATTGATGAATATATATTTAAAGCTGGCGAATTTTGTGACTATCGACGCATACTAAGAGTCAATTAGACTCAGTATAGCACAAATTTAGTAATAGTTTCAAGAATTAAATTAAACTATTTCATTTATATTTCAAGGCATCTAGAAAAATTTAAGCTGCTTGAGTTTGGTGTTGTGAGTTTGATAGTAAATTTGATAAAAAATCCTCAAAGTATGTAAGCAAAAATAGAAAATATGTTAGGCAATACTCATGACAGGCATCCCACTTAGAAAATAAATATGACTCGAATAAATACGGTGCACAAGTTATTAAAACTTTTGAAAAAGAAAATATTATCTTAACTAAGATGTCTTTAATCTTTTACAATATTTTTAACATGGGAATCTAATTTATAATATTAATAACATTAAATTTTTATTTATTGAATTTAAGTTCGGAAACCTCTTCAACCTTGACCGTTTGAATAGATATAAAAATATTAATTATATATAAACTGAACTTGTACCACCTAAGTTCTAAATCCTCTTCAATCTTTACCTTATAATAGCTATACTTTAAACGTATGAATCTATCTAATAATATTAAATAATTATATTTAAACTACAGATGTTGGGTCTAAATCATAAAACAACTCCAAATTTATATTTAAACTTTTAAACTTTTTTTGTTAGGTCTAAGTCCTGCAACCTCTACAAGCTTTCACTATACGTTTAATGTGTAAATATTTAATTATGTTTAAACTTTATTAATTGGTTTTGAAACCTATTCAATCTTTTACTAAACCTTTAACATGTGTGTTTGAATCTATTCAATAACATTAATTATATTTAAACTTAACTTGTTGGGCCTAACTCCTAAAACCTCTTCAGCCTTTAACATGTGAATTTATCGAAAAACATTAATTATTTTTAAGTTTAACTTGTTGGTCCTGAATCCTCTTCAACACTTTACTATAACTTAATCGTATGAATAAATCTATCTAATAATATTAATTACGTTTAAACTTTACTTTTTGGTTCTAGAACCTCTTCAATCTTTAACTATACCTTAAATGTGTGAGTTTATCTAATAACATTGAATATATTTAAACTTTTCTTGTTGGGTCTAGGTCCTAAAACTTCTTCATTTATTAACATGTGAATTTTTCCAATAATATTTATTATATTTAAAATTTACTGATTGGGTCTGAGTCCAGAATCCTTTACAATCTATAATCTTTGTATTTAATTAGCAAAGTTAAGAATTTCTGAATTTATCCAATAATATTTATTATATTTAAAATTTACTGATTGGGTCTTAGTCCTGAATCCTTTACAATCTATAATCCCTGTATTTAATTAGCAAAGTTGAGCCTTTCTGAATTTATCCAATAATATTTATTATATTTAAAATTTACTGATTGGGTCTTAGTCCTGAATTCTTTTCAATCTATAATCCTTGTATTTAATTAGCAAAGTTGGGCATTTTATTATAGAAATTTTAACATGTGAATTGATCTAACCATTTTTCAACTTTTTCTTTGTCTTGCACTTCCTTAGCTTATACTTTTTCATATTCATGAAATCCTTGTTTCTTTTATTTACTTTGAAATTGAAATGTTAACTTCCGGTTTCTGATTTACTGTAAATGTCACAAATTGCAATTTAATTGCCTTCATTATAAGTCGAGCATACAACAACAAACAATAGATAATTTACCCACAAATTGCATAACAAAAAGCACTGAAGTACTGATTCACCTATCTTATTGTAGAAGGTGTAAAGGCATATAAACATATAAAGACATCAAAACGTATCAATAATGTTTATAATAATATAAAGTAAAAAAAAAATTTTAAAAAATTACAACAATATATGAACTATGAAAACTGTAACACACCTTTGAGCCGTCACCAATGTATCTCTTTCGACGCTGCTAATCTATCGGGTTGCTGAAACTGTCTGTTGTTATTTCTGTCGATGCTAATAATGGTAATAATAATGGTAATAATGATGAATTGCCAAAATTGTAGAAGTATTCAAAGCATAGGTGCGTATCCAAATGATTACCAAACGTAATGGAATTTTGCAGATCTCAGCTTTATATTGAACGAAATATTTTATGCAATTACTCAGATGATTTTTGACTAATATTTTGAATTTTCGATTTTTTTTTTTACTGTTTTGTTTTATAACTTAAAACTGAAAAAAATTTATATTATATATTTATTGAATAATGAATAAATTTGCTAAATTCAATTTGTACACTTCAATTTTGTAATAATTTTTAACAGAAAAAAAAAACAGAAATTAAGAAAAAAATTTATTATTTTCGCTTTTATTTTAGTTACTTCACTGCACTTAAAATTTCGTACTTGAATTGCACAATTTTTATTGAACAAAAAATTCGAAAGATATAAAAACACCAAAGGAAAAAACTGCGCGTAAATACCAGCAATAACAACAACAATAACAAAAACAACAAAACAAAAACAGAAACAGAAATGCAAGATCAGCTCAAATGATCGCACAACCGATCGCCTCAACGTTTACCGTCTTAATGCTTAGACCACGACAAATGCTTGAGAAAAACTTCACGCAAAAACTGTTCCTCTCGCTTTTCGTTACCAAAACCAATTCAACTGAGCAAAAATAGCGATTTCCGTTGGAAGCGATCGCAGCGTTGGCTTTTAAAGTTTAGACCAAGTTAACTAAAAGTGAATACGACGATCAACGATCCACGATCAGCAATCGACGATATTTGTGGTTTTTCGTTTGAATTTTGTTTGCAACTGGTTCGCCGCAACAAGTTTAATACATATAAGTTCGTCTTATGCAGTAGAGAAGAGCGGCGCGCATAATTTAACACAATGTCTGTCTATTTGCTTAAATGATCGGCTCACTATCTCACTATCTGTAGGTCTGATCAAGTGTCTCTTTGGCTTTTGTTTGGTTATCACTGCAAAATATAGAAATGAGGCTGCTTGCAGGAAACAATGCCTGAATGCAGCCAATAAACACGTGAGTGCATATTTCCATAATGCTGAGGAGTAGAAGAGAATGTAAAATGATAAATATTTTCCATATATCGACTTTTTCATATTTCTGCCATTATCTCCATTGTTGCTTGGGCTTCTTTTCTTCACTGCTGACGATGAAAAGGTCAACAACAGTTGCAAAAAAACCGAACTGGTAAACCGAAATTAAATGTCATTAAACACGTCTGAGAGACGGAAACATTTGGAATCAATGTAATTCAATTTAATTTAATGTAAAAAATTTACAAATATTTGCGCCATACGTCATTTAAGGAATTTCATATCCAACTATTTACGATTTACGTCAAGATGAGGTGACACGATCAGTGAATTTACGTGTTTTTGCAGTGAATTCCAAAAATTATTCTAGCTCGACTATATGACTTACATAATAGGAGCAACTTAACATTAACAAAAACTAAAAAAAAATAAATATAACAAAAAAGTTGCTTAAAAAACTTGCTCAGTTTAATATGTTAATTGAATGAATAATAAATAGGAACAAATTCAAATTAGTTGGCAGTACGGAAACTAATAAAACACTATACATCTTAAAAACAGTAAAATCTACATATAGAAAATGTTAAGACATCAAGAAGGGCTCACCTGAACTAGATCCTAGCTTATGAGATATGATTGCTTGATCATTTCCATTTGTCGCATAATGTTTAATTGTTAGTAAGTAATAAACATTTATACTAGGTATATAGTACTCTAATAAGAATAAAAAGTTTTTTGTAATAATAATGAGCAATTATTTATGAAAATTTTGTATGGGGGATACCCACCCCCATGTACAGATGTTACATGGGTGTTATAGTACTCTATTAAGAGTAAAAAGTTTTTTTTAATGATAATGAACAATTTTTTATGAAACTTTTATATGGAAGGGTGGGTGTTGCATGTTACACCTCTGCTATTATTCGGGCCACAGTATTCAGTTGTCAAATGCAACTCCACATCGAATGAAAGTAATATTTAAATACATTCAAGACCTTTTTGTAACTTTAGATTTTAACCATTGTCACTACGATACTCCCACTCATGGCGCCAACCTCAATTCGTGAGGACAGCTGAAGCTATTGGTCCTAGTCTCTATGGTAATAGATTTACGCATCCGATCAGGTGCCGCAAGTAAAACTTATTAACATTTATACTCCAATCAGTGTTGTGTGAAGCCTACTGAATTTTAGTTACCTCAATCGACAGGTATGCCTTAACATCGAAATCTTCCTACACCTTTCAAATGCGCTTAGTATAGTACAGCATAATGTAGCAATGTTTGGTATAATTCAAGACGATGTTAAAGCCTTCTAAGTGCAACAGAAGCTTTATTTCCTTCTTATTTATCCTGTTATAAACATATCTCTATAGGTTGCATGGGTTTCACACTTTCTGTTAAATATCGTAGCGGATCACTAATATTCCCAACAGAAAATACGAAAATTGAAGTGTAAAAGGTATGTTGAGAATATATTCGTTGCATTAAATGCATTAATATCGGTTGAATATATTTTATGCAATCAACATAGCCTTAGTTTCTTTGCTAGTCATTCGCACGCGGTTTCATTTCTTCACACTTTCTATTAAATATTGTGGCAGCTTAATGATATTCAGAATATTGTCAGTCCTAAATTCCATCACAACTCCGCCTTATACGTATATTTAACCATAATGTACCACCTACGGTTATTTAGATGGCATAATGTTCTATTATTATTATCATGAGTGGATATCGGTAACATCAGAAAATTCAGGTCGATTGTATCTCTTCCTATAAGTAGGACAATTATCTCTTTACATGAAGTAAACTCGCTCCTTTTCTTGCAAGTACGTTTTCTGTCATTACTTTTTTTTATTATTGGCTGAAGTCTTGATGAAAGTTGACTTATTTACATGTAATACTAGTGATAATGCGTTTTAAGACATCACACAAAAATTTTTACAATTAACATTACCTAAAAAGACCAATTAATAGAAATTCTGTGCTATTTTTGTGATGTCGATTATTATGCCTTCTCCAGTTTTGTAGCTTTGAAGTTACACATAACTTGATTGTGTTCCATTTGCTATTAGCAAGCAGAAGAAAGTAGAGGTAAGTATTTATTTTTTCAACGATTTCTATAGAACATTAACCGGAATTCATAAAGGATACATCTAAGGAAGCACCAAGGTGCCCGAAACCGTCAGTTTTTTTATTCTCTTCAGAATGGTGTGAACTAGCCGGGGTCGCTTGCCAATTGCCTTATATTCTTTAACTAATTTTGATTTTATATCGAAGGATTGAAGAGCTTCAATTGCGCCACAACCCTAGACTACAAAACAACACAACTAGTTATAGTTCTTACAATCCAGGTCGGCATCGGAATCGCTGCCCGTTGCATGTATAATGAACAGGAATCCCCTATACAACAAGCATACTTGCAGTTAACCCCCCACACAAGGTCAAGTTTCAAATTGTGCTTTTTTTTTTGACATATCTGTTTGATTGATATACCTGCATATGTTTGTAGCGTACATCAATAAACATAAGCAAAATAGTTCAATCAGCAACAAAATGGGGTTTCGTTTAATAATAGTAGATTTATGCAAAGTTCTGGTTTTTGAACTTTAAATTTTGCTTATTAATGGAACTAATAAATTAGATTGCGTTTCGAATGGAGACTGAGACAAGATTGAAATTTTCGAATGAAATTTGATATATTCAAAAAATATAAAAAACATAAATGAACTTTTGCATTTATACACATTTAATTTCATTCATCAAAGATACAGATTTTGAGTGCATTTATTACATGTCAAAGTAGTTAAACTGAAAGCAGTTGACTTGATCTTCATGTCTTGGACATGAATAAGTCAGTGATATTTAATGAAGGTGCTAACAGGTTATTTCTCAAAATTGAAATCGGTGATTAATAAAACTTTTATTACGAATAAGATAATGAATATATGTCAGATATTATATCACTTTTTATTTAGCAAAAAAAAAAATAAATAAAGAAAAATTTTTTATGGGCATAACTGATATATAAATTTATTTATGTCGTTTTTTTTTAATATTTAAATTTATTTCAAGTGTAGAAAAAATTAATGTGGACATGATAGCCTTTAGCTAAAGCGAAGAAAGTACAAATTCAACTGCACAGCAACCGACGTTAGTTTAATTATAATTTGAAGCGTTCAAAAAATATTTAATTTTTGTTGTTTGTGTGATGTGTGGAGTGTGTTTTGCAATAGAAAACACACAAAACTCGACCACCGGCAGCTGGGGGATCAACACCCATTAATTAAAACATCGCAGGTATCATGTCAAAAACTCAACTTTTATATTTTTTTTGCTTGCACTGAACATACTTAATTTACCACACGCCGTAATAACAACTGCACCACGAATAATAATATTTTAAAGTAACTTCTTTTATGAAACAAGCATTGATCAACGTTCGAACAATGGCAATAATTGATCGAATTGAATATTTGATTAATTGGTTCGATGAGGTGTACGCGGGCGTATACGTAATTACTAATTTTATTGCCTCTTCACAGGCGAAGCATAAAGGAAATTTGCATAA